GAAGTTGCCTTGAGTCGTGTTTTTGGGGTCCAAGATTGATGGCCATGTATAAACCTTTCGGGGTGAAGGATGTCTATGTATTGTTATTTTACAAGGGTCATCTTTAGAAGTAGAGAATTGTATTAACAATGGAGGCCTTGCTCTTTTACACTTCATGAAAATATTATTAACTTTGTTCCCCCACCTCTAGACTGCTAATATGGATAGTACAGATTTCACCGTGAAAGAATACAAATGATGTGACAGGTGAAATTCTGCTGTAAAATTGATGGCTGTATTTATTTGCTTGATCAAGCTCATAACTTTAAAAAATACCATGAAGTTTCACATCCGATGGTTTTACATAATTGAAACCACTTTGTATAAAATGGTAAAATGGTCGTATTACATACAATACCAAAATAATTTTATTATTAAATAAACAAAAAAATTTTTAGTATTATTTTATTGTTATTTAAATGAATTTTTTTTAAAATTTTGGGTTACAAGTTCATTTTTATAAATATAATTAAATAAAATTATTTTAGAAATAATTAAAATACCCTTGAATTTATTCTAATCAATAATCTTGATTTGAATATTTTTATTCAATTATAGTTATAAAAATAAAGCAAAAATCCAAATTTAATATTATACCAATTGTACATTAAGATTAAAAATAAGAAATACTATTTATTTTATACGTTTGGATGATGGCTAGTTCAATCCAAACCAACTTTGTTAAATTCGTTATAGAGTCCTTTTTGGTTTGGTGAGAAAAATGAAACAATTTGGTGCTTCAGCCTTCAGAGGCAGACTTCAGATTTTTTCTTGTTTTATTTGATATTAGTAAAAAGAAAATATTTATATATACAATAAATAAAATTATGAAAAATAAAAATAATACTGTTATATAGGTATTCTTCTCTAACTGAAGCAGTCCATTTGTCCATTCAAGTCATCACCATCCCAAGTCACCGGAGAGACGAAGAAGCTGAAAACAAGACGTAAGAAATACAAGTTTGTTAAAAATTCAAAGTCACGGCAATAAATCGGTTTCAGTCTATTAACGAAATGCTACTGAAAGTGGTCCACATTCACCATTGAATAATTCCAAACGGTAACTATCTATAACCACAATACCTCCATAGCAAATGAGCTGTAGTTTAAACAAGGGCATACTCAAAAGTACAGCTTTAAAGTTTTTGTTTTTTAAAGCGAAAAGGTGAAGGTTTGGGAAAAAAAAGTTCCAAGAAGTTTTGGATAGATATTGTAGAACTTCTCGTGCGTCAGTCAAACATGAAATTGCTACTACAAAGTAATGTTTTTGTTACGGAGAAATACCTTCTTCCAAACAAACAAGCCCTTAATTTATTTCCTGACAAACAGTCTAGGTGCATGCCATTGAACCTTATGAACTAGAAAGACGGGCATATGTACATTCTTACTATGGTGATTATAATCTCAAGCTAATGAAAAGATATAAAAACTATTTATCAAGTCACAAAATCCATAAAATTTGGGGATTAGGGATCTAACTTTTAATGAAGATAATTATTTTGAGAACAAGGGAGAATCTCTTTTGTGTGTGTATATTCAAAATATTCACTCATATTTATTAAAAAAAGTTATTTTTTAAATTTAATTTTTATTGGATATGCACGTGTTAAGAGGTGCAAGTTGGATCAAGTGGAAGGCTAAAAAAAGACACAGGTTAGTCCCAAAAAGACGTGGTTGAAAGTAATATGAAAAGATATGGGGACATATAGCCTTACTGAAGGTATGACCTATAATAGAGTAGAATGACGGATCAAAATTCAGATAGCCGATCTCAATTAATTAGTAAAAAGTTGTAATGATGATGATGATGATATTCCAAAATAAATTTGCGGTGCTGAGATAGTGATTTGAGTTGAAGTGAAAAGCAGATCATCAAAAAATTCCACTTTGCGAAATCCCTTTCGATAAATGATGTGTGCGGTTTGTATAAAGCCACAATTTTAAATAATCAAAATGAGGTGCACTTTAAAACTGTGTTGAAAGGTGCAGTTCCGATGCCAAAAAGCTTCACAATACCATGAAAAAATATTTTCACTACTAATTATTAGATTCAAGGGTCAAAAAATAATGTAGATCAAACATATCTATAGATAGTTGAAAATTGCAAAAACTAGACGAGCCAAATAATCTATTACCCAATGTGTACTATTTTCATAACTTGAAATCATGTTTCTCAATATCTAAAATCAATAGATTGAGATGATCAATTTGAAGGTTTTTTTAATATCAAAATATATTTTTATAATCAGCTTTTTAAACGAAAATATAAGGTTCGCACCTTATAGTGACATTTCCCTTCACTGCGTACATCATGTTTCTCGTTTGGGCGGTGTGCCAACCCTAACTACCCATAATATGAGTGTCTTGTCCACGTGGAGTACATCTAAATGATGAATCCACGAAGTAAAATGTCAGGTCTAGGAGTTGCGTCCTCTTGCGTTTGCACGTTATATTGGAGGGTTTTACTAATAACACCACGTGTCTATGTGTCAGTCCATGTGTCCTTTTTGTCTATTTTTGGCAAAAATCGTTTTCTCACTGAGTAAATTTTTTTGTAAAACTCAACAACCTGGGAAGTAACGTTCACACGAATCCCTAGGAATATCTTCAGCAAGCGGAAATTTGGAATAGGAAAATTGTTTCATGCGGGATAGACCGTATTTTTACCCATGCGATCCGGAAAGTACAAAACATCAATTTTAAAGATAAATGCAAGTAGGTTTTTCATTTAAAAATAAAAGAAATTAACAGTTGAAATGTTTTTTTATTAGAATTATCATTTTTAGTTTTTTAAGTTTATTTATTTTTTCATATTCATGATCTCCATATTAGATATTACATGTCTTTAAAAATTAAGCCTTAAAATCCATCTCAAAAATAGATTTATTAAGAGGCCTGTATTTCTACATATACGGACTTGGCTGCATAGAAATCGGGTCCTTTGCAATAGTCTTCTATTATGCTCCCTCATGAGGATACTGTTTATTTTCTCCCTCGGATAAAATCTGATGATTGATTTTAGAACCTAAAATTTTTGAGATAATACCTCTTAATACGTAGATTAACCTCAATAGATTTTTTCCTAATTGGACCCTTCAAGCACTTGAAAAAATAATGTCCCAAGATTGACTAGAACCTGTTTAATTTTTTGAGGGTGAGATCTAAGTATTAGGAAACTTAAATTTCAAATTTTTTTTTTGAGAATATCATCTAGTGATTCTAGAGTGATTGCCAAAATTTCAAATCCAAAAACTCCTTCGAGGTAGGGCATTTGACCGAGGGAGTAGATATTTACCATGGTCCTGCCGGAGCATAGTATACATACTCACCTTTCATATTTGGTTATTTTCCCTGCAATCTTGTCAGGAATATATTTTTGTTGTACTATGAAAAGAAAAGTATATATTATTATCATGTTAATATGAAAATTATATTGTAATCTCAATATTTCGGAAGTGTAAATACAATATCTTTTATTTTGGAAGGGTAGATACAATATATCAAAACATATTGAAATAAATCATAGATTCATATACTATACACAGTCTTACCATAAATCACAGATATTTTGAAAGGGTAGATACTATACACAGTCTTACCATAAATCATAGATTCCTATGTTATACACAGTCTTACTATACTGTACACAACATCTTATATTTTGAAATGGTAGGTACAATATCTCAAAAAATATAGAAGGAAATCACAGGTTCTCGTTTTATACACAGTCTTACCATAAATTACAGATTCCTATACTGTACATATTTATGGTAAGACTATATATAGTATAAAAATATGTGATATATTTTTATATTTTTTAAAATATTATATCTACTCTTCCAAAATATAAGATAGTGTATCTACCCCTTTCTAATATACATATTACAATATACATACACTTTCATATTAACGTCATAACAATATGTACTTTCCTTTTACAGGTACGACATAGTAGGGTTACTCTTTCAGGCCAAAGGGCAACTCTAACCTCAGTTTTGTAAATTTTGGAATCCACCGAGGGACATCATGGTTATTTCAGAAATAAGTTTTAACTTTTTAGACATTTTTACATCTGACCATCCTTTCTAGACTTCTCCTATATACTTCCTCCGTCTAGGCGTTCAAATTTAATCAAGTGCGCCTCTAGACTTCTCCTATATACTTCCTCCGTCTAGGCGTTCAAATTTAATCAAGTGCGCCACTGATCGTTCGATATACATCTGATGCATTCAATTATTTTATTTTTATTTTTTACAAATTATATAAATATTAAATTTAGAACATATCATTATCTCAATGGGGCTGTCATGACCTTGTCCCCAATCATTGTACCTTACATCGCGACGAGCGACCGAACGTGGGTTCGTGATCCATTATAACGTTGGTCACTCAAGAAAGAGTGGACTCAACGTTTTTATTTTCGGTAATCGAGCAAACCATAGAAAAAGAACTAAAACAAATACTCAACTAACAATAACATCGACAATCCCAAACACCAAAAATCCATTAACGGGACGCACCTAAAAAAACTATTAAAAATAATTTTTTGATAAAATATAATAACCCAAATACTCCTTGAAGCTTTCAAGGGTATTTTGATCATTTTAATTTATTATAAATATTTTTTTTATATAGGGTATTTTGATCATTTTAATTTATTATAAATATTTTTTTTATATATTGTTTTGGACACATAAAATTTGATTTTAAAATCTTTTGTAAAAAAATTAAAAAAATAGTATAAAAATAAGAAATTGTGATTGAAGCCATCTCAGCCACCCATTCCGAATAGACGATTGGATAGGGAGAAGTATATAAGTTTCATAAGCATAGAAAGCTTGCCCGAATGAAATTATTGTATGTTATATTATATACTTATTTTCAGGCTTCATAGAGAAGTTGGTTCAGGCTTCATAGGGAAGTTGGAAGAGAAAGAAAGGCCAAAGCCATGTGAACAGGTAGAATGAAAATGATGTAAATCACAATCCGCAGTGTATTTAAATTAGTCTATGACGAAGTTGAAGAAAATAGAACAAAAGAACAAAAACAAAGAAACACACTTATATAAAAAGTCAAAAGCCCTCCACCTCCACTCACGACAATGGACGTATAGAAGGGAGGGGTGGTTCAAAGCCCGTATTGACCGGGTGGTCTATGTTCAAGCCCTAAGAGGCGAGGAGGTCGCAGCTGAGGCGAACCGTTGCCAGGGCCACCAGGCGTTGGGCCTTGGGCGCGGTGAGCCCGAACGAATCGCTCATGTCCATGTCCTTGGACTTCATCCCATCGGGCAAAGACCAGTCGAAGGAGTGAACCAGATGGGCCACGGCCATCTCCAACCCATAGAGCCCCAGCTGCATACCCGGGCACGAGCGCCGGCCAGAGCCGAAGGGAAGGAACTCGAAGCAGCTTCCCTTGAAATCGTAGGCGTTCTCCTTGGTGAACCGCTCGGGCTTGAAAGCGTCGGGATCGGGCCATGATTTGGGGTCCCGGCCGATAGCCCAGACGTTGATCATGACGCGGCACTGCTTCGGTATCCTGTAGCCGCTGACCTCGGTCTCCTCTGCGGTCTCGTGGAGGAGGAGGGGGATCGGCGGGTGGAGGCGGAGGACCTCTTTGACGACGCACTTGAGGTATGTTAGGTTCTCCAGGTCGCCCTCTTGGACTTGTCGGTTCAGACCCACCACCTTCTTCAGCTCGTCTTGAACCTTTTGCATCTCCTGCGGATTGTGCATCAGCTCCGCCATGGCCCATTCGATGGCCGAGGCCACTGTCTCAGTCCCGCCAAACATCACGTCCTACAAAAATCAAGCAAGATTTAAAGGACAAACGATAGTTATCAGTGGTGGCTGATTCATTTCGGGCCGGGCCACCTCTTACCATGATTATGGCCTTGATGTTGTCCCTGGTGAGTTTGAGAGCAGCAGTGTCCGTGTCGTCATTGCTTGCGGGGCCATCGCCGAGGTGAACGAGCATGTCGTCCACCATATCAAGCGTGCGTTCGTCCTTCTGGCCGGCGCTGGCCATGTGATCATCGATGATCTTGTCGATGAAGTGGTCGAGGCTCTGCCTGGCGTTGCGCAGCCTCTTGTTGATGCCCTGCAGGTCCATCCAGCTGAGCACCGGCAAGAAGTCTCCGATGTTGAAGGCGCCGAAGAGCCTCGAGAACTCCTGCAACAGCGAGTTGAACATATCCTGCCCTTCCCCCAGCGCCGACCCGAAGGCGGCCTTGAACGTGATGTTCCTCGTTAGCCCGAACACCAGCTCGCCGACGTTCACAGGCATGCCAGGCTCTGTCTTGGCCTTGGTGGCCACCGCCTTCACCATGGCATCCACCTCTTCCCGCACCGGCCTCCACGACTCCGGCCTCCTCCTGCTGAACAGCTTCATCACGCACAGCTTCCTCATCTGCCTCCAGAACGGCCCGTAGTGCGCAAAAGCCATGTCCGCCCGGTCATACGTCAGATACTGGATGGCTATCGTCGCCGGCCGGTTCGAGAAAGTGTTGTCCTGAACCTGGAGCACCTGCTTCGCCATCTCCGGTGTCGAAACCACAACATTGGGCATGAACCCGAGCCTCAGGTACATGAGCCCGCCATACGGCCTCGCCAGCTTCGCCAGGCCCCTGTGTGTGAGCTGATCCATCAACGCCATGTTACCAACTATGGGACGAGGGCGCGGCCCCGGTGGGAGCGGCCGCTTCCGCCCGACGGCCAACCGCCACAACAGATACACAAAAGGCAGGCCGAGCAGGAGAGCCAGACCCAGTTGCTCTTTCTTGAGCTCTCCAACCAGTGCTTCCATGGCTCCTCCCTCTCTCTCTCAAACTTCCTCTCTTTCTCTCTCTCTAGAAACCAAACCTCGGTGCCCTAAGGCTGAAGACGGCAAGGGCCGGGCCTTGATTATATACTCCACTCTCCTTCTCATCATTGATTTGTTACCCCTAATAGTTGACGATGTTTTCTCACCGCACGTGTCATGTGGGGCCCATCTGAAGCCACATGGGCCATCCATTGTTTGAATGAGTTAAGAGCTAGAGAGAAAAAGGGCGGTAGGTGAGTGAGAGAGAAAGAGAGAGGGAGATGCACTCAGCAATAGATTGAGTGTGACAGACCGTAGCCATATGCGGCCGTACGAGAAAGGTAAACAGACGGCGGTGCTTGGACATCGTTTTCTCTATGAGAGTCTCTTTTTGTCCTCGGCGATTAGCCTTTTGGGTGTAGTTTGCATACGGATGCGGATGCACCCGTAGGTGTAGAGGTCAAATTTTATCATGACATATAATTTTGGTGTAAAATGTTTTTAGGATTATCATAAAATCTATTTTTATATTTAATTATAAAATTTTAAATTTTAAAATTAATTTACATCGAGTAGATCTATAAACATATAAAAATCTTAAAAATGGGTGGTGTAGATAATATGTTGTAAAATGCTCTAGTTTTTAGACTTAATTTTTTTTTATTTTTCCCATCAAGATTTTTGAGGAGCATCCATATATAACCTTTTGGCCACTCTGAGTTGTTTGTTTGTTTTACAGAGGTGAAAAGAGTACTAAGAAGCTTTGTACTCGTTTTTTTTTCTTCTAGTTTTGTTTTAGAGAAAGAAAGGGGCTGATGTGGTGGAGGTGATAACACGTCGTGGTTCTCATTCTCACCGTTATCCTACTAATATCTCAAAAAAGTAACTCCTAATTTAGTTGAAAAATAGATAGAGACATGTACTTCCCACTTAATTACACAAAAAAAATTTGTATTTTTTTTTAGATAAAGTTTATACAAGATTTTTGGTAAAAAAATAAAAACAAAAAAAAAAATTTGACCAAAGAATATGAATAAATGGTTGATCATTACATCTTAAATAAACGCCGAGTCGAACCGGACTCGCCCGGTTCGACTCGGGAATCACCATGGACGAATCGAATCGTTGAAAAAAACGGGAATCGTCCGGTTCTAGAGAGAACCGGACAATTCTGCACAGTGACTTGCCGATTCACTGTATGAAATCGGCAAGTCCCGTCCGGATTTTTTTTTTTTTGTTTTTTTTTTGTTTTTTGTTTTTGTTTTTGTTTTTTTTTGTTTGTTGTAATCCATGATAGATTTTTTGTAATACTTGATCGATTTTTTTGTAATCCATGATCGAATTGGTTTTTTTTTTTGTTAATCCGTGATCG